GAAAGATAATGGAAATGGTGGCAGCATTGAGAATTTACTTGAATAAACATTTAGCTTCGGTGGTGATTTACTAATACTAAAAATACCTACCACTTAACACTACAAAAGAAAAAGGTATTTAGAGACTGTCATGAATCTGTCTCTAATGACTAAAAAATCCATCTCTAATGCATTAGAGACTGATTTTGTGATGAAATCATGCCCATCTCTAAAAGTAGCGTTGCTAAATTTTTTGAGACAGATATTTGTAGGCTGTCTCTAATAGAATTGCATAAATGTTGTCTCAAACTTTAAACTAAACATTTTCAATTATAAATTAAATCTGTCTTGATAATTATTTAGAGACGCATAGATGCCATTGTAAAATAAAAAATAATGTGTATCTAAAATAGAGATGGACCTATGCCATCGCTAAATTATCATTAATCCAGTCTCTAATTTATTGATAAATCCTCTTTGAAATATATTAGAAACATATCATATTTGTCTCTATTTCTTAAAAGATTATCTCTAATTAGAGACGGATAAAAAACGTCTTTATTGTTGATAATGTTAATGAGACGATTTCAAGCGTTTCTAAATCTATCTCAATTTTTTTATGCATTTTTATTTTTTCTTTTACTTTTTGTCATATTAAAATTTGTAAAACTTTCCTGAAACTTCACAATGATAATTATAAATAAGTTACCAACAACATTTTCTATAGGTAGCAACTATAAAATAAAATGCATATGTTGTCACTAGTATCCAAAACATAATACCCACTCTTCTTCAAGACATGTTTAAACACTTTAGCTTTTCATTTTGTTGTGGTTCAGTTCGGCTAGCTAGCTGAGACATAGAAGGAGAGTGAGGGAAAGAGAAATGAAAGGAGAACCAAAAGGATAGAGCGTATAAGAAGCTTGAGCTAGGAGAAAGTGTAACACTTGCCTTGAGTGTTATCCAAAAATCACATAATTCAAACAAACTAAGTGTGGTTAAGGAGTTGATCCTCTAACCAACTTAAGAAATAAATCATTTAAAACCTTAAAAATAATTATAGGTTCTACCTATAGCGCACGGAAGCAAGTTAGACGAAAATGGAATAAAAAGATGCTGTCATGACAGTAATTTATTGCTGTCATGACAGCCCTCCAGGTCCAACTTTCAGGAGGCGGTGTTCCGTCATTCGACCTCCGATTGAAGTGATTTTAAAGCTCACACGTCACATTCAAAGGGTACTATAAGTGTACCAAATTTCAAAAAGATCCAAAGCCTACATGTCACTTTTAAAGAATACTATTAGCATACTAAATTTTGAAAAGATCCAACGGACGGATTGAATTTTGTGCAGGTTACAAAATCAACACTGTAGCTGTCATGACAGCAATTTAATGCTGTCATGACAGCACCTCCAGACCAAATTCCGGAGTGCGTCGTTTCTCCGTCCGATATCCGATCGACGTGATTCCAAAGCCCACACGAAGCTTATAAAAGGTTTTACTTGTGACCCAAATTTTAGAGAAATCCAACGGTCGGATTAAGATTTGGACACCCGGATGCAAAAGTGCAGCTTTTTGGTAAAAACCATTTTCAAAATTGTCCAAATCCCATCCTAATGGTCACAAACCTGTGAAAACACTTTGGACACGTCAAATAAGATTAAAAACACTTGATAGAACATTCAAATGATGGAAAACCCCCATACATCAAAATTTGACCACCCGGGTGCCATTTCCTAAAATGGACCCTAAACCCCCAAAATGCACAAATCATACAAGAGTGGTCACAAATCAATCCAAATACCATGTATTTATATAAATACATATGCTAAACATTTTCACTTGGCTCAGAGCTCCTTGTGGGGCCCACGCACCCACTCTTTCTATCCAAGCTGTATGTTTTCCCATAGCACACCATTTGCAATGAAACCACTTTGCATTTGCTTATAAAATCACATATATATCAAAATAAAGATCTGCTTGTAATAGAAACTTGGTCTACTAAGTAAATCCATCAAAACCACACACCATAACCAAGTTTCCTAGCCACAAGTCTGCAAACAGACAAAAATTCATACACAAGCACACAATCCACACATATTCACACACACACACATAATCATATCCTACTGGCACCCTAATCTTAAATACATTACAATATATTTGCTTAAAAGAAAGGGGTTGCAGTTCTTTACAAATCACAAGCAAACCCCTAGCTTTGCTCTTTTCCCCGTCCACCACTGGATCCTTCGCCTGGACCTAGAATATTGAAAAGAAAGGGGTGAGACAACCACAGTCTCAGTAACAGTGAAATCTATATTGATTATTACAAAGTAAGCCATAATTAAATAAATGAATAATAAATTCAACATAGTATATAATTTAGCCATTTAAAATGCATGAATGCATGACCTAGGCCGGTATGGCCTTTCATGACCAACAGAATGCCCCCTGGCACTCTTTAACTCGCAGGTAAACCTTATACCTACTTGTACCTCCACAGGCACAAAACATAATCTAAGGCATGATCTAATCCACCGAACCGCCTATGCCCCTTCGACGTGAATCCTGAGCAGTCAAAGCTAACTCCCTCCCAGAGCCAGCCCGACTTACTCTCCATGTGAGGGCTACCTTGGCCTAGGCACTCAACCTCACACTTCATATGTCGGATTCCCTCCCCCACTGAGAGGTGTCGAACACTCAATACACTAACCACTTTAGTGCACTGAGCCCACAATACGTAAGACAACACTGAGTACTGACAGTGTGCCATAGAATATCAAAAATCCACACCTTCTCATTGGTGAACTCCCACCGAGATCATGCCTTTTACTCTTGTCTACCTTTCCTGAGTATTGACCATTCAACACTCTAAAGTAGTATAATATTTATAAATCTCATTTCCATAAAAACATTGTTATTAAACAATTAGAAAACATATTTGCACTATAATCAAAGTAGTACCCCATAACCCCTTATAAAGCACATTTAATCTTTTAAAACATGTAATGCATGATAACTAGTAATATTTATTCAAAAATAGCTAAAACAAAGTAATAAGAAATATAAATTCCCCTGTTACCTCAACCCTTTGGTACTAAAAGAGTTCCCCTTGTACAAAATAGGGCTCGGCTTGTTCCTTACTTCTCAATAAGTTCCACCAACAATTTTCTACAACATATAAGTGATCCACATCACTTATCATGACAAATAGTATTAATGAAGACTATAACTTATACCACACAACTTAGGTCAATGAGTCATAATCCACCCTAATGGTCCATATATTAAACCAACCATTCACATAGTATCACTTAACCACCAAAACCATTTATTAGCCATCACTAGGCTAATTTTCAATTTATATAATTTTTTTTAATCAATTAAAAACCTTTACTTAGTGCCACCAACTTTCACCATTAGCCCTTATAATGAAAACCAAACCTTAATTTAAATCTTATTGGGCTCAAATAGCAAAATTATAACTAAATCAATAGGCTTAAACCATTGAGGAGCAAAAACCCAATTTCTCAAGGTTTATTTTGTGCCCAAAACACCTCTTTTCATCCAATTATTCACTCAAAACATTAGATCACTATATAGAAACTCAAAACATGCTCCCTAGAATCCAAAGAAACAAAAGCTTACAAGAATAAAGCCTTTGGGATCAAAATCCAAAAATTTCCTCTTCCAAAAATTGAAGAAAATCAAGAGAAAGAGAAGAGGATTGAAGTAGGGAGTTTACCTATCGTGTAGCCGAGCTCGCAACGGTCGCAAAGACTCCTAGATCCAAGCCTAACTCCCTCCCTTTCTCTTCTCTTCTTCCTCTCTCTCTCTCTCCCGTTTGTGCGTTTGCTTCCTTTCTCATTTTCTCTGCGTTTCTGCATCAGTTTGCTCCTTAAAATGCTGGTCAAAAACTTTGGGGAAAATTACAAGAAAGGGCCCAACATTTTTTATTATTGCACAAAAGCCCGGGTCAACTTTGGTAATTTTTCCCATAGTTAAAAATCAAATAAAACCAAACTTTTGCTTAGTAAAATTCGAACTCTGGGCCTCTATTAAATTATTCTAAATTTTAATTTAATTATAGATATTTTATTTTATTTTTGTTTATTTTTTTTAAATAAATTTGAGTCTTAAAATTTTTAGGATGTTACATTCTCCCCTCCTTTAAAAAGGATTTTGTCCCCAAAATCCAAGCTAATACATGAACCAAAGAGATAAACATACCTAGGGAAACAACTGTGGATATTCCTTCCTCATTTGATCCTCAGTCTCCCAGGTTGCATCTCCCGGAGCTTGCCCCTTTCCAAATCACTTTTACCAACCGGATTGTTTTATTTCTGAGTTGCTTATCCTTAGCATCCACAATACGATCTGGTTCAGTCCGGTAGGTTAAATTCTCTTGAATTTCAACCTCCTCAGGTTCTATCACATGCGACGAGTCTGGCTGGTACTTCTTCAATTGTGACACATGAAACACGTTGTGTAGACCCGCTAACTGAGGCGGTAATGCCAACTGATAAGCCACCGGCCCTACTTTCTTCAAAACCTCAAAAGGACCCATATATCGAGGAGATAACTTTTTAGCCCGAATTGAGCGTCCAACGCCTGTCAATGGGGAAACTTTGAGGAAGACATGATCCCCAATCTCAAAAGACAAGTCCTTACGACGATTATCTGCATAACTTTTCTGTCTACTCTGTGCTGTAAGAAGTTTTTGTTGGATCAATTTGATTTTCTCTGTGGTCTCATCTACCACATCCGGTCCCATCATTGTCCTCTCACTCAACTCATACCAACAAAGAGGCGATCTGCATCGTCTTCCATACAATGCTTCATAAGGAGCCATTTGAATACTGGCATGATAACTGTTATTATAAGCAAACTCTGCCAGAGGTAAATGCTTATCCCAGCTTCCCTGAAGCTCTAGGGCACATGACCTCAACATATCCTCTAATGTCTGGATCGTCCGCTCAGTTTGTCCATCCGTTTGTGGATGATAAGACGTACTAAATTTCAGATCTGTACCCATAGCCCTTTGCATAGCTTGCCATAAATTCGATGTAAACCGAGGATCACGGTCTGAAACAATATCCCTCGGTACCCCATGTAGTCGCACAATCTCCTTAATGTAGATCTCAGCATACCTATCAACCGTATAGGTGGTCTTGACCGGTAAGAAATGTGCTGACTTAGTCAAACGATCTACAATTACCCAGATAGAGTCAAAACTAGCCTGGGTCCTCGGCAAACCAGATACAAAATCCATTGAAATACTCTCCCATTTCATTTAGGAATCTCCAAAGGCTGTAATAACCCCGATGGCTTTTGGTGCTCTATTTTGACCTTCTGACAGGTCAAACACTTACTAACATACTCTGTGACATCCTTTTTCATGCCTGGCCACCACCAATGACGCTGCATGTCATGATACATCTTAGTAGCACCGGGATGAAGGGTGTAGCTACTTCGATGTGCCTCATCCAACAATTTCTTCCGAATAGACTCATTGTTAGGAATACACACCCTATCCTTGAAAACCACATACCCATCATCACTAAACCAATAGTCCATTATCTCACCATTCTCGATGTCTTGACTTATTTTTGACAAAATCGGATCTTGAAGCTGAGCATCTCGTATCTCTTTCCAAAATTCATTAGAAATAACCATAGTATTAAGACCATTCAAAGAGAACTTAGTCATACCCAAAAAAATTTCAACCAAAGATTCCATCAATCTATGCTCCCGAACCATTAAATAGGCTACATGTAAGGTCTTGCGACTAAGAGCATCTGCTACCACATTTGCTTTCCCCGGATGATACTTAAATTCAAAATTATAATCTTTAAGAAACTCCATCCAACGTCTCTGTCTCATATTCAGCTCTTTTTGATCTACCAGGTACTTGAGACTTTTATGGTCGCTCATGACCCTGAACTCTGTTCCATAAAGATAATGACGCCAGATCTTTAACGCAAAGACCACCGCAGCCAACTCGAGATCATGTGTTGGATAATTCTCCTCATGCGGTCTAAGTTGTCTAGATGCATATGCCACTGCTCTCTCATCTTGCATTAGAACACAACCAAGACCCTTATGAGAGGCATCAGTATACACATCATAGGGCTTTTGAGGATCCGAAATCACCAATACTGGAGCTGTTGTTAACCTTTCTTTCAACTCAAGAAAAGCTGTCTCGCACTTATCATCCCAGATAAATGGCCTATCCTTCCTTGTGAGTCTAGTCAAAGGCATAGAAATCTGAGAGAAACCTTTGATAAAACGCCGGTAGTAACCTGCTAATCCCAGAAAACTACGGATCTCAGTTATCGATTTTGGTCTCTCCCATTGCATGACTGCTTCAACTTTATATGGATCAACTGCAATACCATTTGCCGACACGATATGTCCCAAGAACCTAACCTCTCTCATCCAAAACTCGCACTTACTGAGCTTGGCATATAGCTTATGATCTCGCAGAAACCTTAGGACAGTCCTCAAGTGTCTGGCATGCTGCTCCTCATCTTTAGAGTAGATCAGTATATCGTCAATAAAAACTACCACAAACTGATCCAAGAAAGGTCGAAAAATGCGGTTCATATAGTCCATGAAAACCGCAGGCGCATTAGTCAGCCCGAATGGCATAACCAAAAACTCATAATGACCATATCGAGTCCTGAAAGCAGTCTTTGCCACATCCTTCTCACTAACTCTTAGCTGATGGTACCCTGAACGTAAATCAATTTTAGAGAAAATCGTGGCACCAACCAACTGATCTAAGAGATCATCGATGCGAGGCAGTGGGTACTTGTTCTTCACCGTAACCTTATTCAACTGCCTGTAATCGATACACAATCTTAAACTACCATCCTTCTTCTTCACAAATAAGACAGGAGATCCCCAAGGAGAAACACTAGGTCTAATAAATCCCTTATCTAACAGCTCCTCAAGTTGCTTCTTCAACTCAGCTAACTCTGAAGGAGCCATTCTATAGGGAGCCTTTGAAATTGGCTGAGTCCCCGGTACCAAGTCAATTGAGAATTCAACCTCACGTTCTGGAGGTAATCCTGATACATCCTCAGAAAACACCTCTGGGAACTCCCTAACAACCTCAATTTCATCCACTATACCTGTCTCAGACCCTTGGGTAGCGAGCACTACCACGTAAGCCTCACATCCTTGCTCAATCAATCTTTCAACTTGTAAAGAAGAAAGAAAACAAGAATGACCAGGGTATTCTTTGATCACCTCCGGTACTTCTACCAAAGTCACTGTCTTAGTCACACAATCTAAGACAGCACCATAAGCTGTCAACCAATCCATACCAATAATTAAATCAATCCCTTGCATAGGTAATTTGATCATATTCACCCAAGTCGATCGCCCATTAAAAGTCATCTTAGTCCTACACACCACACTGGATCGACCAACTAAACCAGAAGTAGAGGAAACTTCTATATCATGGGGCAACTGGTCAACAGGCATAGCCATTCTATCTAAGCGCTCGGCAGAAATAAAAGAATGCGTCGCACCACAATCAAACAAAGCTTCTAAATCGAGGCCACAGATAGAAACCATACCAGTGATTAGATTCGATGACTTCCTAGCCTCCTCCTGAGATACTGTATACACTCTACCAGGAATCACGTTCCTCCGGTCCGAGCTCTCATGTAAATCAGGGCAGTCACGGATCAAATGGCCTAACTTTCCACACTTGTAACAAGCAAAGCAGCGACCAAAATGAACCCTACCACATCTATTGCAAGGTGACCTCGCTGTGCTTAGAATTGGGGCTTGACTGGTCTGTGAAGAACGTGCTGGAGCGTTCCCAGAGAAACGAGAACCCCCAGATCTCATATTACCACCCCGATTACCTTGAAATCTTGAACCCCTATTTAAATTTCGATTACCAGAAGCAGAAGAAGACCCGATTCTAAAGGAACCACTAGAAGAAGAACCAGAGCTAAAACCCATTCTCTTGGATACACCACCAGTAGGAGCTAACCCAAAAGAAAATCGACCTCGTGTATCCCTACTCCGGCTACTCTCTGTGTCTCGGCCTCGACGAGCGGCAATCCTCAGACGATTGCACATCTCATCATATGTCGCCTCGCCCAACAAAGATAGCTGCTGGCGGTATTCTGGCCTCATCTTTTCTAATAACCTCTTTGCTTTCCACTTGCTATCATTAGAAGCCTTCAGATATGTTGAGAACTTAGACAGCTGATTGAATTTTCTTATAAAAGTCTCCTCGTCTAAGTCCCCCTGCTGAAATGCATGAAACTCTGCCTCTTTCTCATCTCTGAAAGCTGGCGGAAAGTGAAAATCATAAAATCTTTCTTTAAATTCATCCCAAGACATAGATCTTCCATCTGTGGGCTTAACAGAATCCCACCAATGCTTGGCTTCACCAACAAGCTGCATCGTAGCCAAGATAACCTTCTGCTCAGATGTACACCTCACAACAGTAAATAACTGCTCCATCCGATCCAACCACTCTTCAGCTTTCCCATCAAGCATACTACCATCATATGTAGTCGGATTAGAGCGAGAGAATTCCTTCCAAGGTTCAGATATGTCATTCTCTCGATTATTAACAACTGGTGCATGAGCTCCCATAGTACTAGAAGATCCCTGCCCAGCACTTAGGTCAACATGCTGATCTGGAACAGTATGACTTCTAAGATTTTGCTGTATATCCACCATAACTTCAAGCAGCCTAGCCATGACTGCATCTGTCCCCTGTGGTGGTGGTGGAGGTGGAGGCGGAGGTGGAGGCGGAGGAGGTAGAGGTGGTGGTCGTTCCTCATTCCTCGATCTACCCCTTCCCCTTCGAGCCATATTAGAACTGAAAGGTGTACGGCTACAAGCGTACGGACCTTTCTCCCCTCCTAAAGGAACAAGCCAGAGAAAGAAAAACCATATTAGTCCAGGTTAGTGGTAGAAGGGAAAGAGCATAAAAGTAATGTATTTAAGGTGCCAAGTAGGAAAAAGGAATCATAAACCTAAAACTGATACCAAATGTAACACTTGCCTTGAGTGTTATCCAAAAATCACATAATTCAAACAAACTAAGTGTGGTTAAGGAGTTGATCCTCTAACCAACTTAAGAAATAAATCATTTAAAACCTTAAAAATAATTATAGGTTCTACCTATAGCGCACGGAAGCAAGTTAGACGAAAATGGAATAAAAAGATGCTGTCATGACAGTAATTTATTGCTGTCATGACAGCCCTCCTGGGCCAACTTCCAGGAGGCGGTGTTCCGTCATTCGACCTCCGATTGAAGTGATTTTAAAGCTCACACGTCACATTCAAAGGGTACTATAAGTGTACCAAATTTCAAAAAGATCCAACGGTCGGATTAAAAATTAGACATGTTAAAAGATTGACTATTTTTGCTGTCATGACAGCTAAAAAGCTGTCATGACAGCACTTCCGGACCAACTTCCGGAGTGCACCATTTCATCATCTGACCTCCGATCGGAGTGATTCCAAAGCCCACATGTCACTTTTAAAGAATACTATTAGCATACTAAATTTTGAAAAGATCCAACGGACGGATTGAATTTTGTGCAGGTTACAAAATCAACACTGTAGCTGTCATGACAGCAATTTAATGCTGTCATGACAGCACCTCCAGACCAAATTCCGGAGTGCGTCGTTTCTCCGTCCGATATCCGATCGACGTGATTCCAAAGCCCACACGAAGCTTATAAAAGGTTTTACTTGTGACCCAAATTTTAGAGAAATCCAACGGTCGGATTAAGATTTGGACACCCGGATGCAAAAGTGCAGCTTTTTGGTAAAAACCATTTTCAAAATTGTCCAAATCCCATCCTAATGGTCACAAACCTGTGAAAACACTTTGGACACGTCAAATAAGATTAAAAACACTTGATAGAACATTCAAATGATGGAAAACCCCCATACATCAAAATTTGACCACCCGGGTGCCATTTCCTAAAATGGACCCTAAACCCCCAAAATGCACAAATCATACAAGAGTGGTCACAAATCAATCCAAATACCATGTATTTATATAAATACATATGCTAAACATTTTCACTTGGCTCAGAGCTCCTTGTGGGGCCCACGCACCCACTCTCTCTATCCAAGCTGTATGTTTTCCCATAGCACACCATTTGCAATGCAACCACTTTGCATTTGCTTATAAAATCACATATATATCAAAATAAAGATCTGCTTGTAATAGAAACTTGGCTACTAAGTAAATCCATCAAAACCACACACCATAACCAAGTTTCCTAGCCACAAGTCTGCAAACAGACAAAAATTCATACACAAGCACACAATCCACACATATTCACACACACACACATAATCATATCCTACTGGCACCCTAATCTTAAATACATTACAATATATTTGCTCAAAAGAAAGGGGTTGCAGTTCTTTACAAATCACAAGCAAACCCCTAGCTTTGCTCTTTTCCCCGTCCACCACTGGATCCTTCGCCTGGACCTAGAATATTGAAAAGAAAGGGGTGAGACAACCACAGTCTCAGTAACAGTGAAATCTATATTGATTATTACAAAGTAAGCCATAATTAAATAAATGAATAATAAATTCAACATAGTATATAATTTAGCCATTTAAAATGCATGAATGCATGACCTAGGCCGGTATGGCCTTTCATGACCAACAGAATGCCCCCTGGCACTCTTTAACTCGCAGGTAAACCTTATACCTACTTGTACCTCCACAGGCACAAAACATAATCTAAGGCATGATCTAATCCACCGAACCGCCTATGCCCCTTCGACGTGAATCCTGAGCAGTCAAAGCTAACTCCCTCCCAGAGCCAGCCCGACTTACTCTCCATGTGAGGGCTACCTTGGCCTAGGCACTCAACCTCACACTTCATATGTCGGATTCCCTCCCCCACTGAGAGGTGTCGAACACTCAATACACTAACCACTTTAGTGCACTGAGCCCACAATACGTAAGACAACACTGAGTACTGACAGTGTGCCATAGAATATCAAAAATCCACACCTTCTCATTGGTGAACTCCCACCGAGATCATGCCTTTTACTCTTGTCTACCTTTCCTGAGTATTGACCATTCAACACTCTAAAGTAGTATAATATTTATAAATCTCATTTCCATAAAAACATTGTTATTAAACAATTAGAAAACATATTTGCACTATAATCAAAGTAGTACCCCATAACCCCTTATAAAGCACATTTAATCTTTTAAAACATGTAATGCATGATAACTAGTAATATTTATTCAAAAATAGCTAAAACAAAGTAATAAGAAATATAAATTCCCCTGTTACCTCAACCCTTTGGTACTAAAAGAGTTCCCCTTGTACAAAATAGGGCTCGGCTTGTTCCTTACTTCTCAATAAGTTCCACCAACAATTTTCTACAACATATAAGTGATCCACATCACTTATCATGACAAATAGTATTAATGAAGACTATAACTTATACCACACAACTTAGGTCAATGAGTCATAATCCACCCTAATGGTCCATATATTAAACCAACCATTCACATAGTATCACTTAACCACCAAAACCATTTATTAGCCATCACTAGGCTAATTTTCAATTTATATAATTTTTTTTAATCAATTAAAAACCTTTACTTAGTGCCACCAACTTTCACCATTAGCCCTTATAATGAAAACCAAACCTTAATTTAAATCTTATTGGGCTCAAATAGCAAAATTATAACTAAATCAATAGGCTTAAACCATTGAGGAGCAAAAACCCAATTTTTCAAGGTTTATTTTGTGCCCAAAACACCTCTTTTCATCCAATTATTCACTCAAAACATTAGATCACTATATAGAAACTCAAAACATGCTCCCTAGAATCCAAAGAAACAAAAGCTTACAAGAATAAAGCCTTTGGGATCAAAATCCAAAAATTTCCTCTTCCAAAAATTGAAGAAAATCAAGAGAAAGAGAAGAGGATTGAAGTAGGGAGTTTACCTATCGTGTAGCCGAGCTCGCAACGGTCGCAAAGACTCCTAGATCCAAGCCTAACTCCCTCCCTTTCTCTTCTCTTCTTCCTCTCTCTCTCTCTCCCGTTTGTGCGTTTGCTTCCTTTCTCATTTTCTCTGCGTTTCTGCATCAGTTTGCTCCTTAAAATGCTGGTCAAAAACTTTGGGGAAAATTACAAGAAAGGGCCCAACATTTTTTATTATTGCACAAAAGCCCGGGTCAACTTTGGTAATTTTTCCCATAGTTAAAAATCAAATAAAACCAAACTTTTGCTTAGTAAAATTCGAACTCTGGGCTTCTATTAAATTATTCTAAATTTTAATTTAATTATAGATATTTTATTTTATTTTTGTTTATTTTTTTAAATAAATTTGAGTTTTAAAATTTTTAGGATGTTACAGAAAGGAAATGTTATCTCATGCTAGTATACAAAGGTAGCAAACTTATACTTCACTCTTATATGTTTTGGCTTTGTTTGAGTATGTTGACTCAATTATGCGCTTCAAATTGTTTCTGAGTGAGAAGGTTTCAAAGTTTATGTAGCCTCTAAATGTATATTTTAAGTTAAGCAAATTGGAAATTGATGTTTTGCATGCCATGCATTCCATGTTTTAGTCATAACACCCAGGTTATTTGGCATGTATGTGAGTATGTCAACTTGCTTGTGTTTAGCTATGCATATGAGTAAATATATGCTTTGCCATTGAGATTGTTATAATCTCACTCTCCAAATATACTAACCATGCTAGCTTCAAGCAAAAGCAAAGACAAAGGCAAGACAATTCATGAAGCTTGATTCTATGGAATTTGTTGTACTGAATTTTGTATGAATATTCTGACAAGTGCGTGAGGTGTAAGTATGATTATATGCTCTGTATCTATGTCCCCTAGAGTAGCTATATGTGTATGGAAATGTTGTTTCCACATTGAGCAAATCATGCATGAACATATAAGATCAAATTAATCATAACAGAGCATGAATCTATTAAGAAGTATAGTGCTATTTTGGGTCCTAAGGTTGATCTTAACAAGTCCGATGGTCATGGAACTTTTTATGACCAAACATGACATGTCAAAGTTTTATATAAATTTGGAATCATGCAGTTTTGTGCTCCATACATTAAGTTATGAATTATTCAAATTAAAAACATAATCCAAAACCATTTCACTAGAAAAATAGGACATGGGTTATTAATCTATGAAACAGTATAATTTGAACCACACAAAGTCCTATTCCATAATTTTCCATTATAGAGAACTATCTAAAATTTCCATAGAACCTTAGATCATGTTAATTGGATCCCTACAACTCAAGTTATGAAGTTTCCAATTTTGAGCATACAATCTGGATCCAGTATATAGTCCAGTTAAGACAATCCTAAATATTAAATAGCATGTATCCATTGAGAAATATAAAGTTATTTTTAATATTTTTCTGATATAGTTGCATGTATCCATTGAGAAATATAAAGTTATTTTTAATATTTTTCTGATATAGTTAAGGTCTTATAGTTTCCAAATAGTCTAAGATCACATCAATTGGAGTTCTATATCTCTAGTTATAAATTTTGTAAGATAGGACACATAAATCTAAATTCAGTATGATTGAGAACTAAGCAATTTTGAAAATTCATTATACTGTACTAACTGGAGAGGTCAAGTTGTGTGCCATATTTTTATCTAATAGAGGACACCTAGGGATTCATAATATATCCTAGATCACCAAGTTTGGATAAGTATAGTCCAAGATATGAATTTTTAAAGCTAAGGCAAGAAATCTGAAAAGTGAACAGGGGAAAACAGAGCAATTTAGCTAAACAAATAAACTGTATTAAATTGCACAGTAAAATTCAAGTTTAATATTTTTTCTATATAGAGAAATCATTTATCATTAAAAGGAGATATGAATGAGCTCAAAATGAATTTTATAGGATAAGTTATGAATTTTTTAAATTAGTTCAAAAATTCTAGAAATACCAATTTGAAGCAAATCAAGATTGAGCTTGAAATTTTAAATCCTTCTTGTCTTTATGGAACCTAGCATAGCTTCCATTGTTGAATAATAGTTCCTAATATAGGATTTTTCAAAAGATTAAGAAATGAATTGATATGCTCACCTCATCACCATACTTTGTATGGAATTTTACTTTTAATATAAGCTCATCAACATTTGGTCAAAACAAAACTCGTACATGTTGAACTAACCTAATTCCAATTTTCAAAACTCTTTCTAAGTTCGCGTGTGAATAAGCTTTCCTAATTATTATAATTTCATTCGATCATATATATTCTGATCATGCCAAAGATCATTATTAAAATAACAAAAACAATAAATCTAGAGCATTGACTTAAAAAAGAGTACATGTTGTGTTGTGCAGAGATACTAAAAACGAATCATTATAGAGAAGATATAGAGACATCATATTTACCTGTCAATCAGGCATCATATGCAGCATTAAAGGGATTAATTGTAAGCTTGCATCCTTCTTTCATCTCTAATCTTGCAAGATAATCTGCCATTTCTTTGGATGGCTTTGACACCTCCACATTTCGCAGATCAGGCAGTGACCATAGTTCCTTTGGAAGCTCAATCAATCCCCAACAATAATTTATGGACAAATTTTGAAGGCAAGGCATTGCATCTTTGCTCAAATTCCAACGTTTGTATCTCATGCCTCTCATTTTAAAGACTTTGAGATTTTGGAAATATCCACTTTCACAGTCAAGATTGCCAAAGCTACGTCCAATGTGAATATCATCACGAGCTATTTTTAAAATCTCAAGACTAGAAATGGCCCCAAGAATTTAGAGAAATATCTTCAGACTCCAACAGCAATGTTATCTTGGTCAACTTTGATGGAAAAGTTGTATCTATGCGAGGGAAATTGTAACCGTGAATCTTGAGTGTTTGTAGATTAGCCAAGGTTGGAAGGTTTTGCCAAAAAACATGTGGATTGCATATTTCTTCCCTTAACAAAATCCCCAATTTTCTAAGCTCGCACATATGGCATAGTGAGGGACCATTACTGTCTCTAAAAGAAACATAAGAAAGGATTTTCAGATTGTTTGAAGGACCATTAAGAGAGGGAATATACGAATATCTTGGAAGACAAAGACGCTTTAAACATTTCAATTTCTCTATGCTCTTTGGTAGAATCACTGAAATGCCAGCAATCTCTAAAGTTTCTAAATTCCATAGGTCAAATATTGCTTTTGGAATTCTTGATGAATATCCATGAACACAACGTAACTTTAGGTACCTAAGATGGATTAGATGCACAATTCTATTAGGAATTCTTGGTACCATATGAGTAGAGGAGATATCAAGGATTCGAACCAATTTGAAGTCCTTCAAAATGGCTTTCCAACATATGAGATCTCCTCCTCCTCCTCCAAAGAAAATCAAAGAGCGCACAGATGAATGATTAGCACCAAGGCTAGAAGTTGAGGCTTTCTGATACATAAATAATCTTCGAGGGTTGACTAAATTTGAACTTCCAGTGGCAGTAATGATGTCATAGAACTTTTGCCTTTTGCTTTCTTCTATGCAAAATGCTCGTAAAAGATCATGAATGCGACATACCTTCATGCCCCCATCAGTCCTCTTGCTTTCAACTTGAATCAAGCTTCGATCAATGAGCTCCATCAAGTAGTATTCTGCAACATCCTCTGGTAGTTTATTACCAGTTTCTTTTGGTATTAACCCCTCTGCTATCCAAAGTTCTATCAATTTCCTGACATAGATTTTGGAGTTTTTAGGATAATGACCAACATATAGAAAGCATGGTTTCAGATTTTGTGGCAAAAACTTATAACTCAATGCCAAAATATCTATGCATTTAGCTTTTTGTTGAAAATGATGCCAAATTTCATTTTCAGCAACATAGGACCAACATGCCTTAGATCTCTCCAGTTTTGCTAATATGCCAGCCAATACCACAATGGATAATGGTAATCCATCACAACTTTCAACAATTTTCTTGCCAAGATCTTCCAATTCAGGAGGACATTGTTCTCCCATAAACACCCTCTTTAATAAAAGTTCCCAGCTTTGTTCTTCATTGAGAGATGGAAGCCGATATACATACTCTTGAGATTCAGTTGTAACATGAGCTACTTGTCCTGATTGACTAGTGATCAATATTCTACTCTCGTTTTTGTCATCAGGAAAAGCATCATTTATAGCATGCCATACTTCAGGTCTCCATATGTCATCAAGAACAACAAAATATGGCTTTTTCCTTAAGCTTTCACGGATTTTTTTTCTTTAACAAATTCTCCGTACTCATATTTTGGAAATAACCATCGTCCAATTCTTTTTGGATCGCTTGCCTTAGATTTTCTATGCCTATTCCATGATAACTACTTGATCCCACTTGAGCCAAGAGAAAGAGTAATATTGCTTCAATTTTCCAATCTTCTAAAACATCAACCCATGCAAACTTATCAAAACATCTCTTGAGCTGATTATTTTGATAAATCTTTCTAGCAAGAGTGGTTTTTCCCTGCCCACCCGTACCGATGATGGAGACGACCTTACGCTCTTTATGCCCACCCCTAAGTCGCTCGATCATAGCATCTGAGTAGACATTAAAGCCAACCACATCATCTTTCTCAACATTTCTCCTACGGTCCTTCAAAACAACCTCAGTATCCATCTTTGTCTCCATCATTGACTGTACCTCCCCCTGGACATTATGAAGCAATTTTATGGTAAGTTGTTGGTTGCTTTGTATTGCTTCAGCAAGATCGTGAAGAAGCTTTGCATGACTTACGTAATTGGTCAAATCCCACCACCGTTTGATTCTTTGCCGATTAAGGTTGCAGATGTAAGTGTCGATCACATCCTCAGCTTCATGAACAGCCTCTAGGAGTTGGTCATTGTTTAGCTTTTGCTTTGAGTCCTTAAGGAGAGCATTCAATGTTTCCATCTGATTTTGAAGCAACTTGATGTTCTGCTTTACATCACTAGGCAAATTGTATTCTTGTAGAAATTGCCCAGATAATTTTTCCAACAAGAAACTGACAGCAATGTCTGCCATTTCTTATCTATAATGACAACACACTCACTCCAATGATTTTAAAGGATCAACCCGACATATACATTCTAATTCAAATGGTTTTGAACACAACGCATGCCTTCTAGTATATTTCTTTATCGATAATGAGAAACACCAGGGAACTATTAGTCTAGAGAAATGAAGTGAAAAAGGGTAGACTTTCAATCACTATTAGACTGAGACTCTTTTTCAATGAGAAACATCAGGGAATCTGCAGGGAAAGAAAAGGACTTGCCATCACTACAAGAATAAGATTCCTTTTCAATCATGGGGTTTACTTTTGCATCACTCAATCCAAGTTGTTGGCACCCGAAATCCAAACGAGATAACACATTGTGAGGGTTATCTTTGATATATATATATATATATATATATTTATTTATTTATTTATATCACAGAAATATATTAGAATAATATTATGAGATATATATGGGCAAAATACGGGCTAGCCCATATAATTGTGTGTTATGGCTAGGTTAACTTGAGAGTTAAGTGAGCATCTAAATTGGCTTTAATAAATCATGTCCGCTCTCTCTAGTATTAAAGGAAGAACTTTTTTTCTTTTGTTTTTTATCTTATTACTCACAATATCATCCTATTGGAACTAAACGTGGGAATCTCTCCTTATGGAGACCTGAACTTTAGTTCGCCACGTTGTGAGAAATTAATCTATTTTGCTAAATCCAAACCTATTGATATTAGAAAAATATTTTTATAATATTTGGTTATGTAGTTTTATCTTGGGAAAATTGGTCAAAAGGATTAGATTGGAAAACAAATTAGTCCTAAGGACCAAATTTCATTGAAGGACCATGCTAAATTGTTTATTTATTTTACAAATTCAAGTCAAACCAAAATGCCCTTGTCATAATAAAGGAATTTAAAAATGAAGACCACTCTATGCTTGGTTTCTTCTCGAGAGTTGAATAGGAGAAGATAGCAAGGGACGTTTCTAAGGGGCCATTGACAGTGGTGTGAGTTGTGAGCAAGTCATGAGCGAAGAGTTCTAAGAAAGACAACCCTATCTCTTTCACAATGCCTTAATTGGACGAGTTTCAAGGTTCTCAAGATTCTAAAGGTGGAGAAAATGGTGGCCTCAGTGAAACACATTGGTGGCAAAAATGAGTATTGCTTTGCTTGCCCAATTAGAGAGGTATGTTACATGAATGATTTCTATTGGTTTCCCAATTTGATGCATAATATCTTTATGATCACTCACTTCTACTTGATTAAAAGAAAATGTTCTCAAACAAGACCATGTAGCTTGCAATTACTATTTGTGTGGGAGGATGCCTTGTTCAATAGGTTAGTTAGTTATGCTTGTATTCTTCTATCTAACTCTAAACTTAAAACTCCCCCCACCCAAGCCTTTTTTCTATTGTAAGTATAATCTACTTAATTTTTCTAATGAGTTCAAGCCATCTTTCATTTGGATTTATTTTGCCATCTTTTAATGCTATCATCATTCCTACACAAGAAGTTAATCATATTGGTTTTTCTTATGAATGTAATCAGCTTGTAATTAGCAAACTTGATGAATTGTGACACTTTCAACTAGTTGCCTTTGTGAGGATTTTAGAAATGCTGTTAGTACTAATGTATTACTTACTAGTGAAAGAAAGCCACTAATGTCCTAAGCATAAAGGCAAAAGTAGATTGTATTGTTCACATGTAAAGAAAACCAAATTATAGAGGGTACTTTTGATCCGTTGAAAATTTGACCAGTTGAGTATAAAGACTTTTTTGAGAGCTAACCAATTCTTAATCTTCCTTAACTGAAGTGCAAAATTTTTCTCTAAATGACCTTTCTCTTAAAGAGCACAATCAGTATTACTAGAAGGAGAAGCTAATACTTTATGGCATCTATAACAACTTTGTGAAGACCAAGCCTTTGCTTGAAGCATCTTAGCAATATTGTAAATCCCTTTGAAAGGAGGACTCTTGACTCAAAGAGATGCTTCAAGGAGTAGAATCCCAACAAACCTCTTGTAAGATGGAGACTCATTAGACAAAATTGGGTGCTCCATCTCCATAACCCCTACTATCTCCATAACTTTTATATCTATAAATTATAATGAGTGTTTTTAACTTCCATAAGCTCTCAATAAGTACTGTTAAGCACTTTCAAATCTTGTAACCCCCCTTATTTAGGATTAAGTTCTTTGATAAACTCTCCATTAGCATTAATTTCTTGTCTAATTGAGACTAGTATAAATAGCCTTCATTTCATTGTATTTGGATCATGAAAAAATAATACAATTTTTTTTATTAAAGTAAGAGTGTTCTCTCTATCTCCCTTGGCTCCTGAGCCAGTTTGGTATCAAAGTAGGGTCTTAAGTCTAATGGGGAGTGACTAAGAGACGAGGAGATATGAGTTTGGCTTGGAAAAGTGAGGTTATAAAGGTTAGTTTGCCATTGCCACTATTAAATAACTGCTTTTAGTCAGTTTCAAGTGAAACACATGTTATCATCATGCTCAGAAGGTCCAAAAACCTAGGACTAGAGATTATCCACAAATGTCTGATAGATGTTGAAGATGATCATGTCAACAACTTGTCAGCTTGACGTGTCGAATCGGTGACACATCAGCCTATCTAAAGAAAGTAAAGTTTCTTGGTATTTATGGAGTCTTTATGATTCAGAGTTATTCATTAATCTCTATATTTTGGTGATGATGTTGAACTTGACTCGAGGGTGAGTCATGTCCAACCCAGAGAGAATGAGATAAAATTAGGTGCTCCATCTCCATAACCCTTACTATCTCCATAACTTTCATATCCATAAATTATAATCAGTGTTTGTAACTTCCATAAGCTCTCAATAAGTGCTAGTAGGTACTTTTAAATCTCGTAACCCCCTCCATTTAGGATTAAGTTCTTCTGTAACTTCTCCATTAGCATTAATTTCTTGTCTAATTGAGACTAGTATAAATAGCCTTTATTCCATTGTATTTGGATCACAAAAGAATAATACAATTTTTTATTAAAGTGAGAGTATTCTCTCTTTTTCCCTTGGCTCTTGAGCCAACTTATGTTGGTGAGATCAATGCAAGGTGATGGAGGTTGAAGTATGCTTAAAGATTGCAACAGAACAAGTAGGCACTATAAGAACACTAGTTAAGAGATAAAAGTGAAGCAACTTGCAACAAAGACAGCTCTAAAAAAGTCCAAACTTGAATTACAGAGATAGCATTTAATATCTTAATATTTGTACAAGAAGAAAAAAAAAACCTTAATTGATATGATTAACAGAAATTAGAAAATGCTAGTTGATGTATAAAAATAGTGTTCTATATAGCAATGTATAACTTGGCCTTAGTGTTTGCCATTAAATATATATAGTTTAAGTTGTATTTTACTTTTTTTTACAGTGTCAATTAATTTTGCTTCCTTAAGAAGCTATTCTTTGTAACAGCAGTAGCTTGCTGCATAAAAATGGTGGCCCAGTCTTTTTTTACAGAATTGTAACATTATTGGAATCCTAATCCTTATAACTACACTAGAAGTTCATCTTTTTCTTAGTTCGTACTTTGCACATTGACATACCAAAACTAATGAAATTATTATTATTCTTTCTTTTATATTTTAGTTGTTCATAGTAATATGTAAAATTGAAAATTCAATTGTCTTTCATGTAAAATTGTTGAATCCTCACATTTCATTGCAACAATTATATGTAATATGTTGTGAATTACATATAAATAAAATACACTAGGAGAACCCACTATGAGTGTCCTTATAATTATACGAAAAAAACAAGTAATTCCATATAAATCAAGAAGGGAAAAACTTCATAAGGATGGCTAATAATCAATTTACATGTAATCCACTGAGGATGGTTGAGGATCAATTTACATGTAATCCTTAGGAGATTACATGTAAACCTATTAAACAAAAAGGAAGGCCCTGTCAGTAGCCAAGAATCATATGAAAATGACCATGGATTACATGTAAATCAATAATGGGGAAAAATTGTGAGCATAACTAACAATTTACATGTAATCTCTACTAAATTACATGTAAACCTATCACACAAAAAGGCAACCCTTGTCAGTTTCCAAGAATTACATGAAAATGACTACGGATTACATGTAAAACTTATTAGTATAACACAAGGCAAAACCTTTGCACTCAATCCATAAGCCTTGCACCCTAATCGAGAAGCCTTGTACCCTAAGCCAGAAGGCTTGTACCAAGAGCAAACTTACATGAAAATGCATTATGTTTACATGTAAATGAATATTAGCAGCACACTACATATGGCCCTTGCACTCGAAACTAGAACCCTTGCACCCTAAGTCATAAGGCTTGCACTTGACCCAAATCCTTTGTACCCCAACTAGAAGGTTTGCACTAAGAGCAGAATTACATGAAAATGCCTTATGTTTAAATGTAAATTAATGTTGGTAGCATGCTACACATGGCCCTTGTACCCGAAGCCAAAAGGCTTGGACTCTAAGCTAGAATCCTTTCACCCTAAGCTAAAACCTTACACTCAAAGCCAAAAACCCTTGCAATCCAAGCTAGAAGGCATGCACTGATAGAAAATCACATCAAAACACCTTAAGTTTACATGTAAATCAAACTTGCCATCCTACTACGCATAACACTTACACCCGAAGCCAGAAAGCTTGCGCCCTAAGATAAATTTATTACTTTATTCATTTAATAATTCATTATCTAACCTAAATGCCCCTAAAATATGGTAGAAAAAATGTAATAAATGAAGGAATAGGATGTGAATGTTTTTGACTGTTGGATATCAACATTTTGAGCATGCTCGAGAATGGTGGTTTGATATCCATCTTCAACCGAGAATAGTGGATGAACTTATCATCAACCATGTATTTCTTTCTTATTTTGAGGATGCTAAATAATGTTTTATTTATGGAATTGATGCTTGGCTTGACCACAATTACATAACACTGATGGATCTTTGTTAATGCATTTGAAAGTGGGGGAGCATTTGTTCAATGCAAATGT